AGCCGCGCCGAAACCGGCCGAGGAAAGGATGGGGTAAATCAAACCACTAGTGCTGATCTCCGTTCCTCCAGGCACACACAAGTGCATCGGAAGCCCTAAACTCGGTGTCCAGTCTCACCCCAGGAGCTAAGGAGATCCCCCTTCCCCAGAGGGGAACGACAAGTTTTTCCCCAGTGCTAGTGTGGGCAGAGGCCTGGGAAACCTCATGACACCACTGACAGGGCAGGAGTCGCACTCAGGCTCCAGCAGAGCTCACTAGGAGGGCGCAGGAAAGGAAGGGCAGGGCTGCAAAGTAACTAATTTAAAAGCTACATTCCCTTTTGAAACCCTTACAGAAGACAGGACTAAGGGCTATAGATGTATGCATACATATACATACATACATACATACCCACTCCCAGAGACAGGCACCCTCCACATATGTATGTTTGTGTACATATGTGGATATATATGAATATGCATACACAAGTACGTATCTCTTAAGATATCTAATGTGGTATACTGACATCTATACATAAAAATAAACAGATTGATCCCGGCAGGATTCTGTTTGTAGTAATGTACTGATAAGTATTTAGGTTTGATTGATTTTATATGTATAATTCGTACCTGTAATTTTTGACTCTCTCTCCAGTACAAATCTTTGCAAATTGTCTCAGCAACCACATCCCCGTCGAAATCACCTTCTGAATTAGATGTATAGAGATGTGTAGAGATGCTTCTGGGACAATAAAGAGTCTTGTATAGACGTACTGAGAGTGTTGCGACAGTGACAATGTACAGACAATAAGGAAGCCAGATGTGGAGAATTCATAAGGACAATATATTAATTGCTAATAAGGTGCCAGCATCAGACAGAATTACTATATCTGCACGAGTCCCGCTGCTCTCCGCCCCAGGCCGTCTGGGGCCTTAATCTTGGCTGCCCTTTGCCCCATGCCGCACGGCAGCAGCAGGGATGCGCAGCGTGTCCCCGGGCCAGGGCGCGCTCCCGAGCTCTGCTGCCCCCGGCCCCCAAACCCTGCCCTGGCACTCCGTGCCTGGCCCCGTCTGGCCCTCTTGTCCGGAAATGCCTCAGCCAAGGACAAGACAGGGACGGAAGATTAGGGCCAGCCGTCGGACAGGCGCTAGGGAAGCGATGGGTGGGAGGCAAAAGGGCTGCGAGAAACAGTTCTCTGGACGGAGCCTTGCAAGTGGGGCCGGAGGGCTGGTCACGAAAGGGTCCCCAGGAAACCCCACGTGCAAGAGCCTCCATGCCCTGAGCAGCTGGAGGAGTAACTGCGCGTGTGCTGGGGAGGAGGAAGGATTTTTGTTTTAGGCTTTGATTGTTTTGGTTGTCTTCTCGGATTCCCACGCCAGGGGAAGAGATTTCGGGCCGATCTGCTGCGGAGTTTCTGCCGGCTTAACGAAATAACCAGGGCAGGGTGACTTTCCTACGGAGTTAAATTATCCCGCTGAGCCCTGACAACAGTTCTTCCTCCAGAGCGCCCTACGCCTAGGGATCGCTTACAGGAGCGGGTCTGGGGAGCAGCCCTGCCTCGCACTGCCCAGCATGTGCCGCTCCCAGCGCCCCGCGGCGCCCGGCGGCGGCACTGACGCATGTCCGCCCCACACAGTGACTGCCGAAACGATTTCTGGGGGCTACGGGAACAGGGGATGTATTAGTCCTACATGCATAAGGAATTAGTGATGAAGTTTCTCAGAGCTCGCTGAGGGTCAGCCAAGCGGGAAGAATTGCGGCTAGCTGTCCCGGTAGTGCGGGGTGTTTCTCTCATTTTCCGGACGAAGGGTTTTTGGAGGGTAATTTAAATCTCTCTCTATATCTATGTGCTAGACTTGAACTAATGAAAAAAACAGGACAGAAGAAAGAGCTGAGTCCCAGCTCTGCTCTTGCCCGCTTTAACGTAGACTCCTCTAAAAGCGGCTCACGGCGCCGCAGAGGAAGCTTGCCGAGCCCTTTGCTCCAGTGGCAGGGGGCAGTTCACAGCAGACACATGCCTGCAGGAAAGGACACCCCGGCCGCGGGAGCGGGGCAGGGAAGGGCTGGGCGTTTTTGCAGCGAGAAGTCGCAGTGGCTTGGCGCAGGGAGACACGCACTTTTGAAGCGACCCACTGGGGACATGGAGCCCGTTTTGCCTTTGCATTAGTAAGCTGCACCTGAAAAAAAAAAAATCTCTCTTTGAGAAAGAATTTGCCTACAAGTTGTTTGGTAGCCTTCTCCTCTCCCCATTGAGATCAGATGCTTCAAAGGTTTTAGACGTGTACTCAGATCCAGCCACCCCAGGAGTCTGGTCACACTTAAGCACGTGCTTAAGTGCTGCGCTGAATCGAGCCCGCTCTCCTGCGTGAGCTCCGCTTGCGGAGGAAAGGCGCAGCGGAGCGATCGCTTTTAACTGGAAGTGTATAAAGGAGGGGAGAGCGATTTGGGGCAAGGAGCTGAGAAGAGGCGCCGGAACAGACAGAAATGCCCTCCCCCCCCCGCGGCTGCTGCCCGGCGAAATGGGTGGCAAGTCGTAGCTGCAGCCCTTCCGCGGCTCTGGCTGGACGAGCACATTTGATTCCCCTTGGGGAGGCACGGCAGCTCGTATAAAAAAGACATTGTTGTCTTTGGAGAGCCCTGTGCGCACTTTCAAAAGCTGATCCTTGAGTTCCCAGCCCCCGCAATCCAGTTGATGAGGAAACGCGCTGCGGTCTTGGTGGCACCGTTTCCATTGGGATTGGCACCATTTGATTGACAAAGTCTCCCATTCTTCCACCTCTCGAGTGTTATCAAACGGATTGTGTGGGGTCAGAAGCTATTGAAGGGACGTCCGTGTAGCCGCATTCTGCAAACACGGGGTGAAGACCGTGCCTTTCTCATGAAAATGCTTCCACCAGGCAAAACGCATCTCATCTTCCCTGCTCTCCTCCTTAGCATTTCCTTTTAACTCGAGCGTTTTACTAAGCAGCATCACCAGGTAAACGAACACATCACTAGAGACAGCCTAGGCAGGACCCTATCGGGGCGGCTACACTTCCCGGGGGGTGCGGGGAGACAGCTCTGGCAAACGAAAGTTGGGATGGAGGGTTGGGGGGGAGGAAAAAAAGTGAGCGGATGGGACAGATCAACAGCAAACAAGCTTTCTTGCTAGTTGTCCGGGGTTTTATTTGCCATCTTACAGTTATTTCGTAGTGGGAAAGGAGGATCAGAGCCTAAACTGCTTCCATTTCACTAGATTGATCTAGGGGCAAAAAAAGTGCGGCTGGGACCTTGTGGTACGGTGTAGATGTGCCTGCATGCGCTCGGTGTATTTATAAACTAACCGATCAAACCTACAAAGAGAGTTTCACCCCGCTCCCCAGCGAAGGCGGAATTAGAGCTCTCGCACTAACTTCCCTTTACAAGACCCCGCGCAAAGCCAAGGCTGGACTCCCTTGAGTTAATCTAAACGAGCAGTGCTTTGCAGGCTAGTTAACCTGCGTTCAGTCTAGCCAGAGGATAGATAAGCTCTCC